TCCATCATTATGTGTCTATGTGTCAGGACCGTTCAACAATGTCACTGCATCCATCCATCATTATGTGTCTACGTGTCAAGGCCGTTCAACAATGTCACTGCATCCATCAATATGTGTCTATGTGTCAGGACCGTTCAACAATGTCACTACATCCATCATTATGTGTCTATGTGTCAAGGCCGTTCAACAATGTCACTAAATCCATCTTTATTTGTCTATGTGTCAAGGCCGTTCAACAATGTCACTACATCCATCTTTATGTGTCTATGTGTCAAGGCCGTTCAACAATGTCACTACATCTATCATTATGTGTCTATGTGTTAGGACCGTTCAACAATGTCACTACATCCATCATTATGTGTCTATGTGTCAGGACCGGTCAACAATGTCACTACATCCATCTTTATGTGTCTATGTGTCAAGGCCGTTCAACAATGTCACTGCAACCATCATTATGTGTCTATGTGTCAGGACCGGTCAACAATGTCACTGCATCAATCATAATGTGTCTATGTGTCAAGGCAGTTCAACAATGTCACTGCATCCATCATTATGTGTCTATGTGTCAGGACCGGTCAACAATGTCACTACATCAATCATAATGTGTCTATGTGTCAAGGCAGTTCAACAATGTCACTGCATCCATTATTATGTGTCTACGTGTCAAGGCCGTTCAACAATGTCACTCCATCCATCAATATGTCTCTATGTGTCAGGTACCGTTCAACAATGTCACTGCATCCATCATTATGTGTCTATGTGTCAGGACCGTTCAACAATGTCACTGCATCCATTATTATGTGTCTATGTGTCAAGGCCGTTCAACAATGTCACTACATCCATCATTATGTGTCTATGTGTCAGGACCGGTCAACATTGTCACTGCATCAATCATAATGTGTCTATGTGTCAAGGCAGTTCAACAATGTCACTGCATCCATCATTATGTGTCTATGTGTCAGGACCGTTCAACAATGTCACTGCATCCATTATTATGTGTCTATGTGTCAAGGCCGTTCAACAATGTCACTACATCCATCATTATGTGTCTATGTGTCAGGACCGGTCAACAATGTCACTGCATCAATCATAATGTGTCTATGTGTCAAGGCCGTTCAACAATGTCACTACATCCATCATTATGTGTCTATGTGTCAGGACCGTTCAACAATGTCACTGCATCCATTATTATGTGTCTATGTGTCAAGGCCGTTCAACAATGTCACTACATCCATCATTATGTGTCTATGTGTCAGGACCGGTCAACAATGTCACTACATCTATCATAATGTGTCTATGTGTCAAGGCAGTTCAACAATGTCACTGCATCCATCATTATGTGTCTATGTGTCAAGGCCGTTCAACAATGTCACTAAATCCATCATTATGTGTCTATGTGTCAGGACCGGTCAACAATGTCACTGCATCCATCATTATGTGTCTATGAGTCAAGGCCGTTCAACAATGTCACTAAATCCATCATTATGTGTCTATGTGTCAAGGCCGTTCAACAATGTCACTACATCCATCATTATGTGTCTACGTGTCAAGGCCGTTCAACAATGTCACTACCTCCATCATTATGTGTCTATGTGTCAAGGCCGTTCAACAATGTCACTATATCCATCATTATGTGTCTACGTGTCAGGACCGTTCAACAATGTCCCTGCATCCATCATTATGTGTCTATGTGTCAGGACCGTTCAACAATGTCACTGCATCCATCATTATGTGTCTATGTGTCAGGACCGTTCAACAATGTCACTACATCAATCATAATGTGTCTATGTGTCAAGGCCGTTCAACAATGTCACTATATCCATCATTATGTGTCTATGTGTCAGGACCGTTCAACAATGTCACTGCATCTATCATTATGTGTCTATGTGTCAAGGCCGTTCAACAATGTCATTACATCCATCATTATGTGTCTATGTGTCAAGGCAGTTCAACAATGTCACTGCATCCATCATTATGTGTCTACGCGTCAAGGCCGTTCAACAAGGTCACTACCTCCATCTTTATGTGTCTGTTTGTCAAGGTCGTTCAACAATGTCACTACATCCATCATTATGTGTCTATGTGTCAGGACCGTTCAACAGTGTCACTACATCTATCATTATGTGTCTATGTGTCAAGGCCGTTCAACAATGTCACTACATCCATCATTATGTGTCTACGTGTCAGGACCGGTCAACAATGTCACTACATCCATCATTATGTGTCTACGTGTCAAGGCCGTTCAACAAGGTCACTACCTCCATCATTATGTGTCTATGTGTCAGGACCGGTCAACAATGTCACTGCATCCATCATTATGTGTCTATGTGTCAGGACCGTTCAACAGTGTCACTACATCTATCATTATGTGTCTATGTGTCAAGGCCGTTCAACAATGTCACTACATCAATCATTATGTGTCTACGTGTCAGGACCGGTCAACAATGTCACTGCATCCATCATTATGTGTCTACGTGTCAAGGCCGTTCAACAAGGTCACTACCTCCATCATTATGTGTCTATGTGTCAGGACCGGTCAACAATGTCACTGCATCCATCATTATGTGTCTATGTGTCAGGACCGTTCAACAATGTCACTGCATCTATCATTATGTGTCTATGTGTCAGGACCGGTCAACAATGTCACTGCATCCATCATTATGTGTCTATGCGTCAAGGCCGTTCAACAAGGTCACTACCTCCATCTTTATGTGTCTGTTTGTCAAGGTCGTTCAACAATGCCACTGCATCCATCATTATGTGTCTACGTGTCAAGGCCGTTCAACAATGTCACTGCATCCATCATTATGTGTCTATGTGTCAAGGCAGTTCAACAATGTCACTGCATCCATCATTATGTGTCTACGTGTCAGGACCGTTCAACAATGTCACTGCATCCATCAGTATGTGTCTATGTGTCAAGGCCGTTCAACAATGTCACTACATCCATCATTATGTGTCTATGTGTCAGGACCGTTCAACAATGTCACTACATCCATCTTTATGTGTCTACGTGTCAGGACCGTTCAACAATGTCACTACATCCATCTTTATGTGTCTATGTGTCAGGACCGTTCAACAATGTCACTACATCCATCTTTATGTGTCTACGTGTCAGGGCCGATGAACAATGAGGTGAGGTGAGGTGAAATGGGGTTTAACGTCGCGTCCAAGATTATTGCACTTATATATCGATGTGCATGTACGTGTGTGTGTTTGTGTGGCTGCTTGTACTAGTCCGGACTGATGCCGATTTATAGTGCTAGCACACTGAGATACCATGCCGCAGTTTAACATGAATACCCCACTCAAACACAGTATACTGACTCCGAGCCGACCAGTCCGTGTTTTAGCCCCTTAATGCCGAGCGTCAGACAGGGTAATAACAAGAACCATCTCTTAACGTCTTTTGGTATGACGCGGCCGGGGATCGAACCCCGGACCTTCCGCTCTCCGGGCGGACGCTCTATCACTAGACCACGGAGGCGGTCCCCGATGAACAATGTGACTACGAATCCAGAGCAGTTCAACAATGTCACTATAGCCATCATTATGTGTCTACGTGTCAAAAATGTCAACTGCTCCTTGTTAACCGCAGACATACCCCCAAAAGACATGCTTTAAGTCACCCAGTCTCGGTGTAGAAGTCTTGTGGTTACGGCATAAGCTTACCATGTGGAACTGAAGGACCGGATTAACAATTTCCTACAAGCGTATAATGTGTTAAGCCCAGTCTTCGTTTACCCTGTCGTGATATTGCATCGTAAAAACATGTTCGTGTTTACATGTAGCAAGAGATGCAGATTAATAGCACTAGACAGTAATTAAAAGCAAAAATGCAATACTCTCACAATAGCACACACAGCGCTGAAGCATTGACTTGGAATGACGAATACTGTTACCTTCCAAAAAGAGATTCCCTGGCTTTATTCAACACGATGCCAAGGCTTTATACGTCCACTCGACACATGTTCTCTGGACTGATTGAAATCGTTCCCAAAAAACGTTGAACCAGGAAACTCTAATCCTAGTGTGACTAAAACATGTTTTTTAAAACAAAGTGAATGTTTGATAGGCACAAAAAGCACGCATTCGAGCTGTCTCCATCCTTTCCTGTAGCAACTATAGGAATTATCCATTGTCTAGCGCGGCATCGTTACTACTGAAATTTAAACTTGCCAAACCGGGTCTCGGCGAAAGGACGACGATGCGTCTTATTGGTGCATCCGTTGTCTCCCACCAACACCACCCCCGACACCACCATGCACAAAGAGTCGGGAGAGGCGCTAAATACACGCTTTCTCTTCAAAATTCCACATTACATTAAAGATGAGCAGTGATTGCTGTTTTAAAAGCGATATGATGGTATCGTGGCAGTGAAGAACGTTTGATGGATCATCAACAACGAGTTTCACGTTTGCTAAATGTCCGCACAGGGTAAGTGATTAACATCATCACTTTACTTTCACGAAGCTGGTTTCTGAGATGCAACACGTATCGTATGAGACACAGGAAACGCTTTCCTGAACAAGTCCACACGCCGCAGAGTCCTCATGAGGTTTACAGATGTCAGGAGCCATCTTGGAGGCACGAGTGGCCCAGTCGTCTAAGGCGCCGAGATTCGCGGTCAGAGTTGTGTCCCTTGGGCACGCCAGAAACCTATGATTGTGGGTTCGAATCCCGGTTCGCCCCGTTTATGTTCCTAGGTTTGTCAGCACCATACCCGTGATCATGGGTTTCACCGAAGTGGTAAACGTCCGAGACCTGCATCACTTCGGGCTTTCCTCCCACATTAAGCTGACACGCCGTGGTATAACTGGAATAATATTAAAAGCGGCGTAAAACCCAACTCACTCACTCGCTCGCTCAAGAGCCATCTTAAAATACTGGTTCAACCAAGACTCAACATGGATGCTTAGTGCGTGTTGCATGCATACTAAATATAAAACCATTTGTCCGTACTAATGTACCTCCGATGACAAAAAAACCCAACAAATATGTACGAATTCATAATATTTTACATTGCGTCACACGATACACCTCCACACTCGCTCATACAGACAATACATTTATTGCACATATTGAATTAACATAAGGACACGAGTATGTATACTCAACGATTGGCGTTGCATATCGCATAAATGCAAATGTAAGTTGTCCAGATTGCATCAAAGATATTTATTGCTCTTATACCAGGGACTTTGGCTTGGCACTATATTACAATAAGTGCTACAGGGACTAAGGCAAGTCTACAGGATCCTTTGAACTATATGCAACACGGTACCAAACTTTCCAGTTCAACTGTATGTACATAACATCGACTAGTAAAACTTACTTACTATCGTTAGTAAAAAACATGGTTTTAAAAATGGCAGCAAGATTTGGACGACTTGTTGAAAAAAATTCATTTGAGGTCATTGTGATCCTTCGAGGCACCGAGTTCTTTTGGAAGATGATCGACATAATAAAGTTGTAAAATATCGAAAATTTCATATCGAAAACGTGATTGTGAAGGACTAAATTGCGATTTTCGCTTGGGTGGAGATTTGTTCATATTTACTGATCAGCGATCTTAATCTTAAGCTAACGCTCAGTAAAATAAGCATTCAGTTGTTTCATTAACTGTTACAATGATGTCATGGAAACATAACGGTAATCATCACAACATGGCTGAATGGTTGAATGGTTGACATACGAATGATGAATACTTGTTCCCAAACCTTCAATAGGAAGAACAGAATTATCGGTATAGTGGACTTCGCTCTGTTGTAAAATCTACACCCAGACAATAGAAGTCACAGTATCACAATACACTATGATGATGGCAATGAACACCGCTCCACCTAGCAACAAAAGCAGCGGGATGAACACATTTCTCAGGATATAAAACGTTGCTGACGTCACATTGCACAGTATGGTTCGTGGTGAGAAGGTTCCTCGATCTAGTCATAATGCTAGTAGCCATTCGGAAATTCTTCTCTCTCGAAGTCTTTTATCCACTTTTGTTTCAATACCATGGTCCTGGAGAAGATGGCTGAGTTCCTCCATATGGTCCGTATCGGAACTACACTCCCCTTCGTCCTCGCTACTCGGACCTGTCCGAGCTGGGACCAGCCACTCGTCACTCACATATTTAAAGATCTCCTTCACCGAGCACCGACGCTCGGGCTTAATGTCCAATATTTTGCGGAAGAATCTCAGAAGACGGGGAGTAAATCGCCTCCATTGGGATGGAATTTTTGTAGTTTTTCGCCTCTGCCATAAGACGAACTCGTTGAAGTACATATCTCCAATATCAGCATTTTCCCATGGAAAGTTACCAGTCAACATGCAGAATAACAGAACACCGAAGGCCCAAACATCTCCACTGCTGCTTACCTTGATGCTTTCGTTTCGAACGGCTTCGCATATTTCAGGTGGCGTGTAGGGGATGCTACCGTTTGTCTTACGTATGACCGTGCCATCTTTCCTCGTCATCCCAAAGTCCATTAGTTTCACCTTACTGAAGTCTTGGTTAAAGAGGAGAACATTCTCGGGTTTAATGTCTCGATGGACGAGCTGTTTGCTGTGCATGAAGTCCAAGGCAGAAGCAACTTGTTTTATGATACATTTCGAGGCACCTTCGTCCATCCCAATTTGCGGAGGTATAGCATCAAACAGGTCGCCAAGAGGGGCGTATTCCTGCGCGAAAACGTATGACGTTCTTGTTTCAAATGCAACATTGTACGTGTCGACGATGTTGCTGTGGGGGGAGAGGAAGTAGCTGAAGTGGAATTCTCTCTGAAAATCACGCAACTTTGTGCTACACTTTGGAAGAATTTTCAGGGATACTTTGGTGTCAGTTTCACGACACTTAGCCAGGACAACCTTTCCGTACGTGCCACGACCCAACTCTCGGAGAATCTCGTAATGTTCCTTGAGACTGAGTTGTTGGAGGTTGTCGGATGTACTGCTACGAGGGGACTTCTCCATCTTGTCTATGGTGTCCATACTACTGTAGTGGGGATGGTGAGCCGGTCACATGGGAACCACCTTCACCTCAGTGTCTTTATTCCATGATGTCGCGATGCTGAAACACAGAGAGAGTTTCGTTATCATCACTATACAGTGATACTACGTTAATAACGAACACGCTTATAACGAACTTGTGGATGTAACGAACATATTTGGTCCCGGCCATTTGCTGTATATATGCTTATAAGGAAATACGGTTATATCGAACTGATATCAGTGGTCCCTTTGAGTATAACCGTAGTTTAATGTATCTGATTTGAGTTTATGATCATTAAGAAAGTTTGCACTGTGTATTCCAGTAGGGTAATGTCCATCCTCCTAGTTTCTTATAATCGCGTGGCTGTATTTTATGGTTGATATTTTTATGGTTAATATCGATAACAGTTTTTAAATTTCTACCATAACCGGCTTGCAACCTCTCGGCATCATTGATGATGGTTACACCTCAATGTTTGCATGAATTAGTCAATGGGTGATAAGCCGGCACTCTCTCCTCATCCCTTCACACAATTGGGGCACGGGTGGCCCAGCCGTCTAAGGCGCCGTGATTCGCTGAACAGAGTTGCGTCCCTTGGGCACGCCAGGAACCTATGATTGTGTGTTCGAATCCCGGTTCGCCCCGATGATGTTTCTGGGTTTGTCAGCACAATACCCGTGCTCGTGGGTTTCACTGAAGTGGTAAACGTCTGAGACCTGCATCACTTCGGGCTTTCCTCCCACATAAAGCTGACACCACGTGATATAACTAGAATACTGCTAAAAGCGGCGTAAGACCCAACCCACCCACCTTCACACAATTCCACTTATTAATCTTGTCTTATAGTTCTGACTATATTTCCATCAACTCTCAACCCGACTTTTTGAAAGTCTTGCATCATCACAAACATGACACGGTACCTATAACGATTATTAATTAAGTATTACCATCACACGAACGGTGATACAAATGTATATTAAGCATGGTACATACGTGGTGAATGGCAAGTTCAAACCAGTCCTAGTCAATGTACAAAATACACCAACAAACATTGAACTGCTTCCATCGACCACCGCCGTAAATAACAAACGAATTGGGAATGACGACTATAAAGGCAGCAGCAAATGTGTTATTTATACTGACGTCCTATGATTCGTTAACTCCACAGGGAGAACTCCTCCCACACTTCGGTGTTACTATCCATTACAAGCCCCATGCGTAGGTGTATGACGGATCCCTTTTGTATAAACGGCGACCTTCGTCACAAATGGCGTTTTGGACATTCCACTCGATGTCAGCGCGAGATGTCTTTATCGGAAGTATCGAATAAAGAAATGTATTTTGAATATTTCATAAGAATAACTATTTCGAACATTGCATTTTGATGCAAAATGTTTTATTCATATGTCTATTTCTAAACTCCGATTGATATAAAAAAAGATCTGGATATATTTTTCTCAAACAAAAACAAGATGGCCAATAACGTCCTTCAGCATTGTGTCTAAAGGTCGTGTACTTTGTTTGCAGAATGGCATTAATAAACCATGGTAATTGCCGTCTAGGAAAACTCTCATATTTGAGAAATGACGTATCATGTGACAACATTGACGTCATAGATAGTAGAAGTTCTGAATGTTTAAATGTAAACTTGCATCCAACGCTCAATAGCGTGACACAGTTCGGCTCATACATGGCGTCTCATTTTGTGTTTATTTGAATGGATCTCGAACCGGCTGCCGCAGTAAGGTAACATGTATCGACACAATGTTTTACAGAGTCCACTGACCACACTACCCTGACTATACCTCATACGAATTTGTCCACGACGGATGACTAATCGCGTTTCCTCATCATATGTTTAGTTTCAGAGGTTCACTGATATATGGATTTCGCATAATATCTTTATTTTTGTTGTTATTGTTGTTGTTGTTGTTGTTGTTAAACGCCACACTCAGCAATATTCCAGCCATATGACGGCGGTCTGTAAATAGTCGAGTCTGGACCAGACGATCCAGTGATTGACATCACGAGCATCGATCCAAACAATTGGGATACGATGACATGTATCAACCAAGTCAGCGAGTCTGATCACCCGATCACGTTAGTCGCCCTTACGATAAGGATTGTCACCTTTTACGGCATGTATGGGTTGTTGAAGACCTATTCAACCCCGGATCTTCACGGGTTCTTAATACCTTTAGCTTCCCTTTGAGTGAGTTGTTATCTTTCATTGTCGAATGTTGTTTAAACTCGAAATCAAGACATTCGCGATTGTCAATCGACTTAATTATATATATTCTTCATGACTATTATACAGTTTTTATGTAGGTACAAATAAACCTGTTTATTTATCAGCTCCCTGACCTAGGGAGACCAGATTTCACGATATGGACAACCTATTTATTCCTGCAATTTCGGGAACAGATTACCTTAAAAACAATACAACATAACCACCCAAACAAATAACATTACTGGAATGTGACCCTCGTTTTTTTTAATCTATTCATTATTAATGACAAGTCTTTGAAAGGTATTTAGAAGTGATACACACAAGGAAGAGAATTTATGGATGTCAACTTCTTTATTAGAGGAACACACAGTTTCAGAGTATATACTTACTCACCTGATGAAGGAGTAAGCATATACTCCGAAACGTTTAGCTCCTCATAATAAAGAAACTGACATCCATAAATTCTCTTCCTTATTATTAATGACGTATAGTAGTTGAAAATATAATAAAATAAGCACTCGGCATGACACTTAGGAGGGGTGTTTGTTATATACCAATGCAAAATGTCACTCAAAGAGGCAGCTTATTCAAAAAATCCAAGATTGAGTTATACAGGGCTTGCAACGTGTGTCACTGTGTCAGAAGTATGGCAGGCCACTGTTAACATTTACTGTATCTGTCTAAAGCATATTATGGCCGAAGATATATTTGTTTATATCAAAGCTTAAATCGACGTACTTACTCATTCACAGAAGATAACATAAGAGGGTGACGCAAGCCTTACAGTACGTACCGTGTTAATGTACGATCCAAATACAACTGACTGGGGTTCACTGCTACATGTATTGATCTGTGTGGCTATGTTTGCTCCGGACGCGTCGCCTATAGTGAGAACCAGCTGCACATGTTACAGCGCATGGACGACACAGCTTGACTGTATATGCACTCTTCCCACTCCAGTGAAACTACATACGGCCACCATCACATTTAATAAAAAAATATATAATTTAAACAGTATAACAATGGTCGTCCTAGATCTGAGAGAACTGACGGGTACCCCTTTCTTAAACCATTCCATTCGATTTGATATTTTGACATAAAACTGATCTATTAACACAGACAAATAGCGATCTGCTTTCCCTGTGATGACCCGGGTTAGAATATAGGTCTTCAGCATCCCATGATTGTCGCAAGAGGTGACTTATGGGATCGGTTGGTCAGGCTCGCTGACTTGGTTGATGCAGCGTTCATACACCGACGCTACATGTTACTTATACACAGTTATGACTATTGTCCTTATCAAATGCACGATATTTATAAATTTACACACACGTTAAACAGGATCGCGTAAAATATAATGTATATTTAATTTATTTATAACCTTTCTGAAACAAGACATTAAAGACTGTTAAATTAAATATCTCCATCTTCCGTTGCATTTGCAACAGTTCCTCAATAAACGTAAGATCAATAACAATGACAACAGTTATTATTGAGAGCATACCATGGATTTTACCGTATGTATCTAAACGAACGGATATAATTCAACATATTCAATAGTATTCTTGCGTATCATGCTAATAATGTCCTCAAACGAAGCTGGTTGTGTGGCATGAACATAATTCTTTATCGTGCATAATCCATACATCGTTATGATTCAAAATGGCAGCATATAAATAGATTCATTATAACAAGTCATGCCTCATGTAACTTCAGTCCAAGCTGTGCTTCTGTGGGGGCATATGTCAGAGGCGTATGTCTGAAAGTGTCATCATATGGTTTCATGGGTGGAGATCGCCTCCCTGGTCTAGTGGTCTAGCGTCATCCTGGCTGCTTAATGCCAAAAGACGTCAAAAGATGGAACTTGTTGGAAGCCTGCCTGGCTCTGGCTTTAAGGACTGATCTGTTCGGAGTCAGTATACAATGTCGGGTATTCATGTTAAACTGCGGCATGGTATCTCAGTGGCCAGCAGTATAAAATCGGAATCAGTCCGGACTATAACAAACAGACACACACACACACACACACACACACACACACACACACACACACACACACACACACACACACACACACACACACACACACACACACACACAAACACACACACACACACACACACACACACACATACAGAATTTCGGCGACAGTTTTCGGTCTAGTAGCCTAGTTTTGATAAGGTTCGTAATTTTTTTTATCAAACCCAATTTTCTAGTGTATAGAATAATTCTGTTTTCTTTTGTGGGGTAACCTCTTGTTTGTTTAAGCGCAAGCTCATTTCACCAAAGGGTCGGGTTCGATTCTTGACATAGATACTTTGTATGAATGGGTACACTGTTCGATTCTGCATATGGATACAACGTATGAATGGGTACACTGTTCGATTCTGCATATGGATACAACGTATGAATGGGTACACTGTTCGATTCTGCATATGGATACAACGTATGAATGGGTACACTGTTCGATTCTGCATATGGATACAACGTATGAATGGGTACACTGTTCGATTCTGCATATGGATACAACGTATGAATGGGTACACTGTTCGACTCTGCATATGGATACAACGTATGAATGGGTACAATGTTCGATTCCCCATATGGATACAATGTTTGAAATCCATTTCTGGTGTCCCCTGAAGTGATTATAATTGCAATTTTGCTAAAAGGGGAATTAAAGTCATCAGACTCACGTAACCAATATTTAACGTAAAAAACTCAGAGTCGGACGCGGATATTTAAAACATGTGATTGTCATCGTACATCTGTACTCGTTATAATGCAAATGATTGCCTGATCCTTGATAGTTCAGCGTTAATAACATGCACTCACTCACTCTGTCATGGACACATGGCGGTCCTAGACAATACATCATTATAAGGTAATACAAATATATACATAATATGGAAACATATTTTTAGACAATGCAAATACAGCATTAATTAGGCCAATGCCTTACCGCTCTCTTTCTTCGCGTACTGAGACAGATGAAACATTCATGACGTCACTCTGGTAAGGTATGATGTCATGACAAAAAAGACGACGTCATATGCTTATGTGAACCTTTTACGAAAACTCACCTAAATCGATGTTGTCATTTTAGATAGTCTTCAAACGCAACATGGAAATGTGTTGAATCCGATATCAATGTCGCCAAGCTGAAAGTCGCAATTTTTAGAATTGAGACATGATTTGGGCATTCATGAGTAATAAACCGTCAAGAAGATGTCCGTTCGTCAAATCCCTTCCAGCAACGTTTTCTTTGCCGTAACAACACCATAAAAACACCAATAGCACCTTTTCACATTTGACCCAGGTCACCGTCTTCCTTGACTTACACAAGTCAAGGTTAATACCTTGCATGTATCCTTTGCGCAAAATACAATGCATAGCAACTAAAGAAATGTATCACGCGAATATAGTCCCTCGACTAAGCTGACCCTAACAGCCTTGTCACACTAAATAAATTACTTACAACCTAGCGTGCTGCCTTGGTTTAGTTGACATGCATCACTGATGAAAGGTTCCCCAAGTTTCCCCACTAACGTAAGCTGCTTATGAAGAAGGTACGCACAGCTCTTCGTCACAGCTGCAGATGTAGTTCTTCAGAGATGATGGAGTAAACAAGGAACTACCACCGAAACGCGATGTAGAGGAGCTCGGGACCAAAGGAACTACAGTCCTCCCTCGTCATAAGGCTACCTTTCGTTAAGCATGGCATTACAACCAGGATGACGTTATAACCAGGGAGGGGAAACCAGACCTTACTGACATGATATATAGAAAATTAATGACAACCAAGACACATCCATTCAATCCAAGCTATTTTTTAAAAAAAGCTGAATCTTTTTTTAAACAGGACTGCATCATATACATTATCAACCCTTGGGTCAAATTTGGACAATGAGATATATATATAAAAAAGTCTTTGATATAAGAGTGCCTGGAGACAGCTGCATATTTTGTCAGTGTGTTAGTCAAGTATGAGCGCTACTCCACAGCACCCTCTTGTGGACTGGCTTGTGCCTCTAGACTCCCTATCACCTCCGTGATGTAGAGTTTGCACGTAGACGTAATTGTTGGGTGCAGAGTTATTACATCATATTTTTGGGAGCAGTTTAATGCAAATACAGTCTGTCAGACGATTAAGATGGAGTTTACGGTAATGGGACTTGAGTGATTGGGTGATAACAGCATCAAGGGCTGTAGGTGTCTTGCTGTAGGTGAAAACATCTGAGATCAATGCAATTATATAAAGAGGGAATAATCTCCAAAAGATTAACTACATTGCCTATTTTTTGTCAATTAAAAAAATTGCATTATAACCAGGGAATTGAAACGTTAGGACTGGAAAAACATTGGCATTGGCAGAGAATGTTGCACGTGGGAAATCCGTTCTGAGAAAAACATGCCATTAGAACCAGGGAGGACTGTAGACGTTTTAAGGTTATCTGAGATGAGACTGTCCCAGTTATCAAATTAATGAGTGTTAAAGAGAGCATGGTATACTGGGGAAGGACACGTGGAATTAAACAGGAAACATAATGTTTACAGCAATGGAAAGCATTCACGAAGATCGCCCTTCTACATATCGATGGAGACAGACAATATTGAGCTTTGCGAAACAGACAGTATCTGGAGACGATCTTTACAGGAATTGAAGCAAACTGCTATGAAGCAGTGAGACATTTTTCTAAATACAGTGCAATAGAACTTGACATATCAATTGTTATATTTTGGATAACACTTTCTTAATTACGTACAGATTCCAGTACGTTTTGGGGTTGCGTTCCATCCGGGGTACGACCCCATGATGACATAGTGAGGCACCTAATCGCCAGCACACAAAGTCAGCGATCTAACCCACTCAGCCACCGAGGCTTCCACAAAAATGAAAGTCCGACGACTGGTAGTCTAGATCACGTACATAGTGTACCCCTCTGACAAGCGTGAAATGGCACTGTGCGTTCAACACTTGACATGGTTAAATTGAGGCACTATATGACAATATATAACAATACTACTTTATGGTACTAGTGTTCCAATCTCACATATATTATATATGTCATATACCCACTTCAATGTGACTTCGTAATATAGATTTTGATGAAGGGTGAAAAAAATAGATACAGTTATACAAAAGCCATGTTGTTTTAACCAACACGCTATACTTGGTTCAAATAATGCATTATCTGATAAAACTATAGTTTCTCGCAGAGATCTCTATGCTTAGTCATCACAGTAGTCTAGTGCTGTAAACATCTCCACAAATCACAGTAATCCTGTACAGCATTAGGTGTAGTTCTGATAGACCATGTACAATCTTTAAGCGAAGTTCTTAAGACCACGAACAAACATTAGGTGTACTTCTTACAGACCATGAACAAACATTAGGTGTAGTTCTTAAGACCATGAACAAACATCAGATGTACTTCTTGCAGACCGTGAACAAAGTACTGTAGGGAAAGCATGTGCGAACTACAAGAACAACAACAACATATGAACGCTATTGGGAACCCTGACTCGCAAAACGTCTTCAAACATTCCATGTCGATACTCAGTAAGGATAACTATTACTATATTAGGAAAACGTTCCGAGCCGATTGTTAACTAGTGTTTACCTTATACATGGAGAACGATGCTCACGGCTCTGCAACATGGGTATCCAACGAAGAACGAGTAACATGTTTCTCGCTAAGGTAATAGCTTACAACTAAAGACTATAGCACGCAGCATATCTATGTTATTACACTACGCGAGAGAGGCTCGACGGCCTTACACAGGTATTGGTTCTGTAGGTAGACAAGCCAACGCCAGTCACGTCGCTGATCCCCTATTGGCACTATGCCAGACCAACCAATGGTTCGGCAGCTCTCTTCCCTAAGCTGTTGAGATCGCTCGCGAGTTAGGCGCATGCGGTTCTATTATTAGAAGGTGTTTACGTCAGGTTATGCGGGAGAAATAAATCTTTATTTTCTTTGAGTCTCTCTTCTTGTTTGGCGTGACGTGTGGAGTGGATTTGGAATCGATGCCAAATAAACTGTTCAAGGCACTCGTTTATAGTAGTAGCACACTAATTGTAATAAGGGCCAGACCATCCATTAACCTTATGTATATATTCCACAACACAATAAAATGATATAAGGAGCGATTAATATTTGATGCCCAAAAAGATTACTATATTCAAGCTTGTCTTTTGCGGCTTAGCTTTCGGAATAAGTAGGTGTTGTAGTATCTGGGTGAGCTTGTGGAGTCTGGGACGCTTGGCACTAGCGGCGTGTTTGACATCTACTGACATTCCTGCTCTGATTACTCATACCTGCCGGATTGCTGTCGTTATTGCCCCTGTTCTGTAGAAACCCGGTGACATGGTTCGCTGACCAAGATACATACCACGTGGTCTTATGATTCATACTGCCAGAGTTTCTTAATTTGTTGATCTAAACAAAAAATATGGTTGACTTTATTTGAATATGTCAACTATATTTGATAAATGTTCAACTTTAATTTCTCAATAATATTTTTTTTTGTCGTCATATGAAACAATGTTATCAACATAAAATAACATAAATTATTAAAAAATGGAATCTTATTATTTTGGATCTTTTTGTGTAAAGCTAGATTAAGCATACTATTCCCCCTTTTATTCCAACTAGTGTACAACTAGTGAGTGAGTGAGTGAGGTTTTACGCCGCTTCTTGCAATATTCCAGCAATATCACGGCGGGGGACACCAGATATGGGCTTCACACATTGTACCCAACGCTAACGCTTTAACCACTAGGCTACCCGACCGCCCTGGTGTACTACTAGGACGATGGGTAGAATTGAAACACTTTTAACCACACTCGTTATGTTTAATTGGCATTCTAGAAGTTTGATTTGTAAATAAGAAAACATATTTATGGATAACAACATCTTTAATTACTGTAATTACTGTAATTATAGAAGTTGTTATCCAAAAGTGTGTCTACTTTGCCATCCATCACCTTATAAGTAATGCCTATCAAACAATACAACTTTATGGATAACAACTTGTGGTTGATTGCATGTAGCGATGTTTCGGTGTAGATTCTTCCCCAAGCTTGATAACGGTGTGAGCAGTTACACCGAAACGTCGATAAAAGCAATAAACCGGTAGTTGTTGTCCATAACGTTGTATGTTTTCTTAAACACTCTCTTGCATATCTGACTAACGATGAATCATTATGATGACGAATCTGGAAGTCGAACTTACGATCACAAGATTCTAGCACGCCTGATGATGCGGAGCATCAGATGTCTGTAACATCAGTGTCCCCATAGCTTTGCTATATGACGCACACGACAATCTAAAAATATTAATTCAATTTAATTGTCGAAAATACGATGTACACAATCCTAAAACTTTAACAATAAATTTAAAAAAAGCAAATAAAAGCGACAAAATAATCATAATCATAAGAAATCTCTGCTAAATGAAGAGTCCATTGTACGATTGCGACTATGAGGTGAGGTGAAATGGGGTTTAACGTCGCGTCCAAGATTATTGCACTTATATAGCGATGTGCATGTACGTGTGTGTGTGTTTGTGGCTGCTTGTACTAGTCCGGACTGATGCCTATTTTTAGTGCTAGCACACTGTGATACCATGCCGCAGTTGATCATGAATATCCCTCTCAGACACAGTATACTGACTCCGAGCCGACCAGTCCTTGTTTAAGCCCCTTAATGCCGAGCGCCAGACAGGGTAACAACAAGTACCATCTTTTAACGTCTTTTGGTATGACGCGGCCGGGGATCGAACCCCGGACCTTCCGCTCTACGGGCTGACGCTCTACCACTAGACCACGGAGGCGGTCTCCGACTATGAGATAACATGTGTTAATGATATCACTTAAACGTAGTGACGATACCAAGTGTTCGCAAAAGGTTCGAAAAGTTGTGGTGAAACTATGAAATGGGATGGTGGACTCGGGCTTGACTCAGTTTTGATTCCTAAAATGTCTACAATATGTGGATATTAGGAATCCACTTCTGTCATCTAAGAGGTAAACGTCTCCGAGGTGCCTCTCATTGGTCTTGCTCCTACATTAAGATCACACGCGACCTAACTAAAATATTCTTCCAAGGGGTATTTCATATCAAATGTGTATAGTGTATTGTGATGTACAAGCTAT